GCTGCAACCTGATTGATAGTCTAGACTCTACCCCTTCAAAAGTTGACAGGAGATTATGTAACTATCCACACTGGCACACTGAGATGGCTATGTGAGCAGGTGTATTGTTATGGCAAAACTAGTCCCCTGTCTGCCACAAATCAGGCCTTTTTGTTGCACACTGTTATGCAGTCTTTTCAGAAGCTCTACATAGAAAGCTTGATTAGCAGTCTGACCTGGTGGAATGGATTCCAAATGCACTATGAGTTGACATTTTCATCCATTTAGGAAGTTGACGGATGTCTAAAATGAGGTTTGTCACCAATCGACATTTCACCTTTTTTAAAATGAGAAAACCGTTCATACACTCGAGTTTTTCCCATAGCGCTGCCCTTGCAAGTCGTGTTCAACATCACAATAGTTTCTGTGGAATTTTTCCCAAGCAGGAAACAAAATTTCACAGCCACACGCTGCTTTCTTAAATTGGCCATCAAAAGAAAACGAGGTTCGAGTGAAACTGCTTATAGGAAAAATTCACTGTGACCACAGAGAACCTTCCCAGGCAATGCCACTGGGTACACTAAACTCAGAGCTAGTTGCTAGATGCTCACCTAGTGGGACAAATGCACACTAGGAAAGCTCTGCTCCCCCAGCACAATTCTGGGTTTTTTTGATACCCCTTCATAGAAATTCATCATACTGTTCTTTGCTGATGCTTGGAAGTGCTCTGGATGGTTGGAATTTCTCAATATTTAAATTTTCTATATTTAACATTATAAAAGGGCTGGGGATTTGAAGGATGGAGGAGGAAAGATGTTTTAGGATGACAATGTGAAGCAAGAACACCTCAGCCATACTTTAGGATGACAGAGGAGACAGGCAAAACAATTCCACTTGAAAGGAGTATAGAAAAGCAAAGTCCTTACTCAGAACTTGAAAAACCTCTGCTCTTTCCTTTTCAAACCTCTTATGTCCAAACTTGGACATCTACTCTCCCTTCTATCAAAGGAGCAATTCTCAAACAACTTCTGAGACAGCAACTGTGGAGCTTGCTTAATTGGTGGAAATATAAGTCATTATTGCTATTTTAGTTGTTTACAGAGGTAGATCCTTTGTAAAATAAATAGAGTGTTTATTAGACCATAATAAGATAGCTCTCATTTATCTGCATTCAGAAAGAATTTCCTGAGAATGAGATAAAGGAAGAGAAATACTCTTGCACACTAAGAATTACAAATCATCAACACAGATATGCAATGCTTTTCAACATAATCCAAAAGTTCCCTAGATACTATCAATCCCTTGATTCTTCACATTTTATTAAAGACATAAGGCCCCCTTGTGGCCTCACTCACTACCCTTTCCAGATGGTACTTCATTGATGTAGAGGAAAGCTACATTGAAATGAGCACTCTTGCCTCAGTAGCATTTGTTCTTCTTCTGCAACCACTTAGTCGTTCTAAAAGACACACACACACACATCCACTGTCATATAGTGGATTCTGACTCAGCCACTCTCCATGAAACATTATAAATCTCTATGGGAGCAGATGGTCCCATCTTTCTCCCACTGAGCAGCTGGTTCTTTGAACCTTAGACTGTGGTTTGTAGCCCAATGCTTCCCTTCCAGCTGCTCCCAGGTCTCCTTAACAATACCACACATTAATTCAGATGGTATTCCCTACCATCTCTATTCAAATTCTCTGTTATAGAAAAATGAATAAAGCTATGCATTGGTGTTGGAGCAATACTATCATAGACTTTGGGGAAGACATGATATTGGCATTCGGTATTCATTTCAATACCCCCTTTCATGTGATTTCCTGTATTGTAGAAACTGAAAAACTGAAACAAAAGAAATACAAAAGCAAAATGCATTTCCCAGACTCCTTTCCAACAATATTTGGAAGGTACAAATAGGACAGAACATTTTCTCCTTTGCTTTAGTCGATGTTGCTTGCCAACCACATTCTTGGAGACATTAGGTGTTTCTGCAGCAGTACATGAATGTCCAGTCACTAGTGTTATGAGATGCCGTAGTTGGACCCCCAAGATCAACACCTGTGATCACCACCTCCAAATATTTTCATCTTTGGGAATCTCTACACACAGCGACTAAGGACTGATTTGTGTAACTAATAGAATACTGCAAAAGTGGAAATATGATTTCTGAGACTAAGTTATGAAACAAATTGCTGCTGTGTCTTGGTCTCTTTTCAATGGAGTACTGCACTGTCATCATTTGAAAACATTGATCAATCTTGGCTAGATATTAAGCGCCTCCTGATGCGATGTAGCACGAATCTCTTCTCTGAGGAAATGTTCTTGCCAACAATGGTGAACCTTAATATAATGAAGCAGGTTTGTAGGGATAAATGGGAAAAGTAAAGTGAAACTACAAGAATATTCCACATAAAAGTAACCTGGTTTTTCAACAAATCCATGGCCTTGGGGAATTAGTATCTCTGATTCACTTAAAAATGTAGCAAATCTCATTAACTGCTTTCCTATATAGCAAGATAACCTTTTAGAAGATATAAAGGAAAAGAAAATAATCTAAAAGCAAAAATATATATATTAAATATTTAATGCAATTTAATAGAAATGCTAGCTTTATTTAAACTTGAATTTTTTTTCTAAAATTATTTGGTAGAATAAATATTCAAGTACAGTATAGGTAGAAATTTGTGAGAAAGTAAAAGTAACAAGGAGAGGCTTACACTATGACTTTAAAACTGCAATGAAAATTGAGTGAGTTTTGTTCCAGAACAGCTGCTTTTCAGTTAAATTTAAGGAAAAACCATAACAACAAACAGAAATACATTTTAAAAATCTAACAATTCAATACATAGCATACAAGGAAATCAATGGTAAAAACCTGGGTTTAATATTGCGGCAGACACCTTTTGAAAAGTTAAATTTCTATTTCAGATCTCATTTTTGAATAAATTCCAAATGAAATATGACTCATGTTGTTAAGACCTGATAAAGTGTGTGTTTTACTATTATTTTGAGCTAAGAATGCCTTTTGAAGATTAAAACCCAAACCCAAAATCCATTGAGAAAATTTGATTGACTAAAAATTGGAATTGATAATAAGAATATTTATGAAGGAAAATAACCTTGCTGAAATCTTTGGGAGTGAGTTGTGTTGGGATGATTTGTGGGACAGTTATATTTACAAACATTAATAGGGTGCAGTGTAGCAATGATGAAACATACAATTTTCCTCTAGTTCTTGAATGCTTCCTCCCCTCCACTATCGTGATCCCAATTCTACCTTACAAATTCGGCTGGACTAGAGGATGTACACTGGTACAGAGAGGAACTGGAAACACAGGGAATCCAGAACAGATGATCCCTTAGGACCAGTGATGAGAGTGGCAATACTGGGAGGGTGGAGGGAAGGTGAGGGAGAAGGGGGTAACAGATTACAAGGATCTACATATAAACCTCCTCCCTGGGGGACGGACAGCGGAGAAGTGGGTGAAGGAAGATATCGACAGTGTAAGATATGACAAAATAATAATAATTTATAAATTATCAAGGGTTCATGGGGGAAGGGGGAGTGGAGAGGGAGGGGAAAAATGAGGAGCGAATACCAGGGGCTCAAGTATAAAGCAAATGTTTTGAGAATGATGAGGGAAGCAAATGTACAAAAATAACACAATTGGTGTATGTGTGGATTGTGATAAGAGTTGTACAAGCCCCCAATAAAATGATTTAATTATTAAAAAACAAAACAAATATAGCCTAATGCTAACAATTACTAAATCTGACCATTTCGTTCTACTGTTGAATCAAAGTGGATGCTAAACTATTTTTTCATCTTTTCTGTTTCCATACATTCAGAAAATTTCAGAACAAAACAATGGGTAAAAATGAAACAATTTTTTGAACTCTTTAGTGTTTGAGTAAAAAGATCTTGCTTTATAAAGGGAAGGATGAAGGAGTAATTCCAAGAATGATCTGGTTCTGTCTTACATTTCAGAACAATTCAGGACAACTAAAGTTAAATAAAAAAACAAAATCAAAGCACAAAGGAATTAGTGGATATAGGGTTTATTTGAATAGTTAATCTGAGTGCACCTATGAAGACTATTTGATTTTCTTAAAAAAACAAAAAAGGCTTAATGCAGGCTAGTTACAAAAAGGTTTTTGATGAGGAGGTGATAGAAAATTAACCATTAGTTAATGTTAACGTGACTGAATCATGTTCCTTCAACAGCCCCGTGGACTCCCTCATTCTGGCAATTTAAAAACAATCAAAGCACTTGAACTACTTAATCCAAAGTGCATTGACATACCGGCTGCAAAAGAAGGATTCAAACATAGTAACTATTTTAAGACTGGCGCTGGACCCGGTTGTGTTGTGTTCTGTTCTACATAGCGCCGCTATGAGTCTGACCACCAGCAGCAAAGGTTTAGAATTGATTTCTCAGGCAACACTGGCAAAGACTAATTTACTTTTGGGTGGGATTAAGAGTCAACTTTAAGCCAACTGAACGGTTAACGCGTCTTGCCAATCAAGGTTTGCCAAGGTTTTTCAATTGTGTCCATCTGGGCCTCAGTTTCCTAGCACTACTGAAGGTAATTCATAATTTTGGTATCTAGAAGATAAATCCTAAACGAGAATGAGAACATTGGGAGTAGAAAGTTGACTGCAGAGGGTTAAAAAGTAAGGGTAGGGCAGTTCGAGTCCCTGTTCACTCAATCTGAGGTTTGTTATTTTTGCCGCTGTTTCGATGACATCACTGGAGCCCTGAAGTGAATCCCGCTCCGGAGCAGTGAACTCTCGCGACACCAGAGCCTGGAGGCGCGCGAAACGCAGTGGGAGGGGCTGGGCGCGATCGACCGACTTCCGGCCAGGCCGTTGTCTGGGTGGCGCGGCCGAGTCATCGCTGGGCCTCGCCGCTTGTTTCTCTCATTTTCCCCCCGCCCTGGCGCGGGGGGTCGACGGCCAAGTGAGGCGGGACGACACCGGGCTCTCCCCCCTTCTTTTCGTCCGGCCAGCGCCCCGGCTGTCCACGCTGGGGCCTGGGGTCCGTGGGGCCCGCGAGGCCCGGTCTGAGGGGCCGGGGCCTACGTGGGCCCTCCGCGGGGCCCCATGAGGCATAGCCTGACGAAGCTGCTGGCGGCCTCGGGCAGTGACTCTCCGGCCCGCAGCGAGAGCCCGGCGCCGGCCGCTGCCTGCTCGCTCCCTCCCGACCTGACCCGGGCGGCCGCGGAGGAGGAGAGGGCGGAGGCCGGCTCTCCCGGCGGCAGCCAGCCGCACGGCGACGAGGGCGAGCTGGAGGCCGGGAGGGGGAGCCGCGGCGGCGGCGTGGCCGTGCGTGCGCCTTCGCCCGAGGAGATGGAGGAGGAGGAGGCGATCGCCGGCGTCCCGGGGGAAGAGTCGGAGGACATGGACTTTCTGTCCGGGCTGGAACTGGCCGACCTGCTGGACCCCCGGCAGCCGGACTGGCACCTGGAGCCCGGGCTGAGCTCACCCGGGCCTCTCTCTTCGTCCGGCGGCGGCTCGGAAAGCGGTGGCCTGTGGCGAGGGGACGATGACGACGAGGCCGCCGCCGCCGAGATGCAGCGCTTTTCCGACCTGCTGCAGAGGCTGTTGAATGGGATCGGCGGCAGCGACGGCGGCAGCGGCGAAAAGAGGCGGAGGAAGTCCCCGGGCGGCGGCGGCTGCGGCGCGGGCGGCGGCAGCGGCAACGACAACCACCAGGCGGCGACCAAGAGTCCGCGGAAGGCGGCGGCGGCCGCTGCCCGCCTCAATCGGCTGAAGAAGAAGGAGTACGTGATGGGGCTGGAGAGTCGCGTCCGGGGGCTGGCGGCCGAGAACCAGGAGCTGCGGGCCGAGAACCGGGAGCTGGGCAAGCGCGTGCAAGCGCTGCAGGAGGAGAGTCGCTACCTGCGGGCCGTGCTCGCCAACGAGACGGGCCTGGCTCGCCTGCTGAGCCGGCTGAGCGGCGTGGGACTGCGACTGACCACCTCTCTCTTCCGAGACTCGCCCGCCGGCGACCATGACTACGCCCTGCCGGTGGGCAAGCAGCAGCAGCAGCAGCAGCAGCCGGACCTGCTGGAAGAGGACGACTCGGCGGGAGGAGTGTGTCTCCATGTGGACAAGGATAAGGTGTCGGTGGAGTTCTGCTCGGCGTGCGCCCGGAAGGCGTCGTCTTCTCTTAAAATGTAGGGTCAAGTAATCTGCTCTTTATCCGCGTGTTACCCCTTTCAACTCCCTTACACCATGTAACACACCTTAGTGGGACATCTTCACCGGACACATGTCAGAGGAGGAAAAGTAATATTGAGTCCTTTAAGTGTTTAGCTAAGAGCATGAATGACACTGTAACCAACTCCTAATGATAACATGTGACTATTAAATCTCTCTGACAGTTTCTTTTTTAGGTGATTTCCTTCCTGCCAGGCTCCGTTGTAGGGGTTACAGAACAGTCGTTCCCGCCTGACAACCTGGTAAGGATCCATCTCTTCACGTAACGCTCATGCTCTGCTGCTTAGTCTACTTTTATGGGCAACATCTCAATATGTGTGTGTGATTTTTTTTTTTTCTTTCCGTTTTGGGAAGATGGGAGGGGAAATCTAATTTGGGCCCTGTCCACCCTGGAAACAGACTTGTGCTGGTCTATAATGTCTTGAAGATGCTGAAATAGCTGTTAATGTGTCCCCTTGTTCAAACTTGCATGTACCTAGCTCTTCTGTCCCCAGTGTGGACATGGCCTTGGATGACATCGGTTCCAACTGTACACTGAAACCTGCTTATAGAGATACAGTTTGGATACAGTGACACAGGTGAAGTTGAATGGAACTTCCAGTTGTACAAAGTGCACATTGGAATTCCACTTTCAGAGCAACTTTTCAGAGGTTGACTATCAATATCTGGGGCATGCACAAATGTATTAGTTATTTTACTGGAGATGAGAGAAATCTTAAATATTCAAGAATGTGTTCAGTTTTTCAGAAGATATGCAAATCCATTCTGTTCAGATTAACAAAATTTAATCTTTCGCTTTGAGAGAGATTGGAAGTTGATAGGCATACCAGACTTCTGCGTGTTAGTTAATTGGAGGAGGAATAAGAATGGTTAACGAAATATTTCTATGATGACCAGCGCAGTGATTACCCTATCACTGAGTATGATTAAATTGTTGAATATTTTTACTTTTGATGTATTAAATTTTTAGGTTAAATTTATGTATGTATGACTAAATTATAATAAAGATTGTGAAATGTGAATGAAAAAAAGTGTAAAGTGAGGCTTCACAAAGAATCTTATTTCAAAATAATTTCCCCTGTTGAAATTAACATAAAGCACTGAGAGGTTCTAACCACTCCAGTGACATAATATGACATGGTTTTCCAAAGATGGAAAAGTCTTTGAAGTACTCCTCTACTTATTGACCAGCTGTACAAACTGACTTAAATCCTTTAGTGTAAGAGATAGAAATTCTTTGTGAAACGTCACTGTTTGATAAAGTATATACATATTTAGCACCCTTGTTTTTCTTTGTGCTAAAGTGGATACAGCTGTTGGGGCAGAAGAGACACGGGACCAGCTGCTGGCCACATTTCCTGCTTTATTTTAAAAGGTAGTATAAGAAATGAGGAAAAAGAGGTAATATCAGGGCTTCTGCTGTCTTTTATTTTTTAAAATGTTCATAAAAGAGAAGTATTTTCCAGCAGTCCAAAGATGTAAGCTGTCTTACACATAAAAGGTTTTATTTTGTTGTTACTTGGTTATGAAAATGGAATCCTTGTTCTTGCACAACTGTAACTGTTTTGTTGCTAGACAAAAAAGATTTGAGGCCTAAATTGGTCTCTGGTTTTCCAGTGCATCACAACATATTTCGTGAAATCATCTACTGCACTTGAACGTGAATGTGTAATAGCCAGACTCACAACCTGGAGTGATGAACCTGCTTATACCTAAGTGCAGGAGCAAGCCCCTCACAATGCAGCTGCATGGATTTTTAGTGCCTACTGAATTATATATATAAACCAAAAGTAGTTGGAGAAATTATTTGAAATGACTAATTTGTGCTCTTTATGGAATATGTTAAATGTAGCTTTTTGAAAGAGAAGTCTTGAATTGAAATTTAACTAATACTTGAACATTTTGTATATAATTCTTTGTATATAATTTTGTGCAGTATCAATGACAAAAAATATGGTGTAATAAAACCAGGTTTGTTGCTCTTTCAGTTTATGGGCTCAAAGAATTTATTCATCTCTAACGTGATATTGAAACATAATGGATGAAAATAGGCAACAAATGATTGTTATTAATGCTGATTGTGGATTGATGGGTCTTAAAAGGTTCTGGAGGCAGTGTGTTTTTTATAAAAATTGGACATTACCTTGGAATATTTTGTTTCTAATCGTCAATTCTTTTCCTGATTTCTTTGTAGTTTGGGACCAGGGGAAGTAGTAGTCAAAACTTTTTAAGTTGAGATGCTTTGAAATTCCAAGTGTAGGTTATTAGAATGTCATTTTATAAATGACAGATTTTGGAAATACTTGATTCAAAACTTTTGAAAATGGAAAGTTTAGTATGGCCTATTTTTTAAAGCTGCTTTGTTAGGTTCCTTATGTTTTATTATTAGCTGTCTTTGTTTCCATTTCACTCTTTTTTTCCTCCAATTTTGGTGACAGTGATTTTTGTCATTTTTGCATCAACCTCATGGTCTTGTTTTCACATGGTAATTGCATGTACATAGGACCTGTCTAATAGGGGCTTTAAATACATTTGGTAATATTTATGTGGAAGCACATTTTATTGTAAATGTTTGGGTTTCTGAATTTATAACAGATCTGTTTATTTCAGTATGTAGTAAACAATTATCTTAAAGTGTCTTATTCACTACTTGTTAATTAAAAAGGTTATGACTAATATGAAACTGTTGTCTTACTGTTTTTAGAAAAGTGTGCTTTGAATGATTAGTTCTTTGGATAAAGCAGGTTTCTAGACTAGATTATTCTGAAAATTGCAGGTTTTGGTCTCTAATGGATGAAGTTTAGTGCTTTTTTCTGTTGTGCCTAGGCTTTACGTGCCGAATGGTAAAATGATACAGAACAAAAGATTCTGCTTTTTAATACTTGTTTGCTAATAGTGGCAGGAATTCATACATTAATTGAACTCTAACACATCATGTTGACCTATTTCTATCACTGACCTACTATATCTGTACTTCCTTTACCTGACTTAACTGAAAAATCTACATCTGTAAAGTGGAGTCACACTACTGACAAAAACCACCCGAAAGTGTTCAAAATATTTTAATTAAATATTGTGCATTTTATAATCACGATATTAATCTCTCTTTCTTCTCTTTAAACAGCTTAGCAGTGTCTGCAAAAACGAATCTTTTCCTACAACCTGTTAACTGACTGGACTGATGGTAACAAAGTAATTGTGGGAGCCATGTCGGTCAAAAATTTGGCATCTGCTGAAAAAAATGCCATTTTCAAGTTCCCAAATTACTTCTATACTGATTTCACTTTTCAGAAATGGAGATATGAAAAGATTCTCTGGGATCCTTGAAAGACTTAATAGAAATACATGAGACTAAATTTTGGAACAAAATTAGACTTTTTTTCCATTCATGGGATTGATTCTCAGTTCTCTGCATACTTAACCAAAATTGTATCATCCATTGGAGAAGAGAATGCTAGTATTTCTTCGATGAATATTAGATTTTTTTTTTTTTACATTATCAAGGACATTCAATGGAATTATATTTAGTGGACTCAAATTACATAAACAGGGCATCAGTGAGCAGAAGGCATACCATGAATTTGTATTTATTCCTGGAACATGAGAGCTAATTTGAAGTAGACACTTTTGCCAAGTAGAATATAAAAGTTAATGTAAAGTTCTTAACTCTAAAGGGTATCCTTATAATCAGAAGAATTGATTTCTTTGTGTATCTTTGAAAAAAATCAATTATGGTTCGCTATGTGTTGGTGGAGTTAATTGCATTTCAGGGAAATACCAGGATGCATGGATTCTGAGGTCTTATTCAGCTTTCTCCAAGTACTTGACGCTGTTTTGTGACTAGAGGTTTTTAATGAATGGCACATTGGCTGCTGATTAATATAAAAATGCATCTGGAGTTGTTTAAGGCCTTTAGTATTCTGGATGATGGGAGTGACTTTTGTGTGTGGTGGATGGTGATTTTACCTAATTGAACTATTTCTCCAGCTTAATGAGTGAAAAAACTTACCCAATTACTCTGGATTATTTTATTTCATTTTCTTTGGATTAATATAATTTTTTTCATCTAGTTTAGCCTAAGTCATTTTATGTTACTGACTCATTTGGGAAGTATGCAAATGACAGAAATGTGAGAAGGTAGCTCTTTCCAGAATTATTTCATCATACATATAGTTGGTTATTATACGATATGATATGAAACTTAATAAATTCATTCAGTTTCTTGTAATCTGAGTATGTTTAATGCCAGGGAGCAAGGAACGTTCCCACTGGACCGTATTTAGTGGCTTGCTATTCCTATAGTGTAGCTGTGTGTGATTCTACAACCACCATCATTTGGCCACCCTAACTACTGTTATTGTAGAACATTGTGAAATTCACTGCTGAGTAATTGCTTTTCTAAATATAGTATTGTCAAGTTGAGTATTTTGAAGGTAGTTTAAGTTTGTTGATTTAGTCAAATTTCAAAAATAAACTCATGGTTCTTCTAAATTAAATTGCTATTAAGATATTTCCAATAAGATACTGATTCTCTCCCTACCCACTCTCATAGTTAGACTGTCCCAAAATCTTAATTATGTAGGTTGTTAACCTTTGAGACCAGGCACCTAAGGGATGTTTTCCTTTAGAAACTTAAGTGTTTTGTATGGTCAGTACAGTATTTTTTATGTATTTGAATTCTTTTATATACTTTTCTGCTCTCATACTCGGTTACTTTCCTCTTAGTGATGTATAATATAAAATTTACATTCAGTTTTGAAGTACAAAAGAACTTAATTGGAGGTTATTTAATTTTGTTCAGAGAGTAAAATTGATTTATCATTAGGAACATAAATATTAAGGAGTTTTAAAAAGTTTGGGGAAGTTCTCAATTTCGTTTTTCTCCATGGACTTTATGAAACTCCCTTTTGTATAAATAATTTAATTTTTTTTCAGATTATATATTAATAGGAAAAAACTAACTTGCCTTTTTTATTACTTTGGTTCCTGATGGTAGTATTTTTTACCTATTTACATTTCCTCAGTATGTACAATTATGTACAATTAGGGGTGCTGGCGTAGAACCATTTTGTCTCAAGGACGTAGTACAGAGCTATAAAATAATTTTGTAGTTGTTTTGGACCCAAAATTAAATACGTGTTTAATTCCCATAAAATTCTTGCTACTAATAGTGTTGTAAATGGCTTTATAGTTCTATTTAATATTTAAAGACTCATGTTTTGTTTGTACCACAACTTTGTTTAGAATGTATCTTCCAATTATTTCCTATATAGCTACTGAAGACAGTTTCTTAGACCACTATAGTTTGGGGCATATAAGTTAATACTATTTAAACATATGAACATCTACTTTTCAATAAAAGAAAACTATGAAGTAAGTTGTAAAAGACAAATTTAGATAGGCTATTGTGACTGGGTTGAAATACTAAACTTTATTTTCCAGACTGAATTAAGCACTATTCTTTAACCACAGATGACTAAAACCTTCTTTTAAGTTATAATGCAAGTCATAGTGGGTTCATATCTACCCAAAATTTTAGTAAACCCAGGGGCTTCAAAATGTTTGGAAATTCTGTATTTCCATTCCATTTTCCCCCCACTAATTTTTGAAAGCCTCTTAATGGAACCCAACATGTAAAATTCACTCATGAGTTACTGTAGCATTGTCTGGTTGAGCATTTTGAAGGTATTTTCTATTTGTAGCAACAGATCTCAGATAACATGCTTTATCACTTAGGTTGCCCATTTTTACTCATTGAAGTAAATGGTATAAGAAATACCAGGTAGAAGCCAATTCAGGCCACAGTATGTATGTATTAGATAATACAGTGGTGGTGAACATAAATATGAGAGTAAGTTGAAAAGTACTGCTACAAATTTAGAAACCTGTATTAATTTTTTAGCATACCCTTTTCATTGAGGGCTACATACTTCTGGAAGCGGTGTTTCTCTTTAATCCTTCCTCAAAGGATTCTGTGTTAGATTTACACCATGTCAAAATGGCAGTTTCACCATTGTTGAGTGACTTAAATTGTGTTCGTTTTCATGTCCTTTGAATTTTGAGAACAGAACAATGAAGCTGGGGAGGGGGGAAAAGGAGCTGATACCAAGGGCTCAAATAGAAAGTAAATGTCTAAAAAATAATGATGGCAACTCATGTATAAATATACTTGATAACAATTGATGTATGGATTGTTATTAAGAGCCTGGCCTTTTTCTCTCTGTCCACAGTAGACATTCTCCTGTGTCGTATTTCCTGTCAGTCTTTTGTAGACACAGATTTTTTCTGCATAGTTGGCATCATTTCTAAGTTCATTTGATGTGTCTTCTGAAAAGCAATAGTGATAGCATATTTCCTGTAAAGCTTGACCTAAATTTTAAATCCTTAGCATTTTTTGTCCAAGAGACCTGAAGCCTATTCATTCCTGAAGCTCCCTTTTTTTTAGGTAGTGGGCTAAATTCTCATGTTTTTAATAGTGTAAGATTACTTAAGATGTATGTCACTACAATTGGAGGACGTTGTAAGATGTTTTTCAATGACTTTTTTAATGTGGTCTTGAATAGCACCTACTTTTGCTGTGATGAAGAAAAATCCCAACCATTGCTCTTCCTGTTGAGTCAATTCCATGAGTTTCTGGGATGATGTATATATACATTCTTGAGACAGTGTTGGTCTAGACGTGCTGTCTAAAAAGTAGCCATTGTATTGCTAACAATTCAGTTGCAGTAGACACATATCAAGTGCTTAGCCAATTGTGGCTAATGGATACCATTACCACATGGGCAGTGCAGGTAAGAAAACATTCTATTACCCTAGAAAGTTCAATTAGTACTGGCCAAGATGCTGTCCATGCACAATGGTTTCAAAACATGAGAAATTTTAGATAGAGGAATATAATCAGTCACTAAAAAATCTCAAGAAATGAACCAAGTAGGTATTTTATAAGCAAAACTAGAAGGAATAGAAAAAAGATACTTGGCATCAGAGTGTCTAAAGGGTTGTTAAACAACTAAAATACTAGCAGGGGTTCTCAAACTTCTTAAACGGGGGGCCAGTTCACTGTCCCTCAGACCTGTTGGAGGGCCAGACTATAGTTTTAAAAAAAACTGAACAAATTACTATGCACACTGCACATACCTTATTTTGAAGTTAAAAAATAACAGGACAAAAGCAGGCCGGATAAATGTCCTTGACGGGCATGTGGCCTGCAGGCCATAGTTTGAGGACAGTAATGTATCCAATGAGGGCCAAAAAGCATGATAAAAGCAACCACAAAAAGGCTCATCTTTTTTATTAGCTGCATCATCAGTTTTTCAGGGCTGCAGTTACTGTTGGGAGTTGACAGCTGTGAATCAGAACTTCAGGTGAGCTTGAATCCCCTTCTCTGGAGGAATAGGATCCCTTAGTGGGGCAGTGGTTACCGTAAATAGCCACTAGGTGAACCAAAGCTGTTCCATGGGAGAAGGGACACTCATCTATTATGAAGGATCAACAGCCTTGGAAACCTTATGGAGCAGCTCTGTTCCTCAGGACTACTCGGAGTCATGGCAACTCTGGTGTAGAAAGAGGATTTGGTTCAAAGATTCTATGGGCTGATAACTTCTGGTTCAACGCTTGCTTCTATTTTCATACCTGTTTGCCTTACGGAGGCCAAAGGTGAAAATGGTTATATAGTGCTTTTCCTTTAGCCCAAACGATTAATGGGAAGAAGTGGAATGAGCCAGATGGAAGAGACAGTAATGGGCAGCCTTTACTGGGATTTGGCCTTTTGTCATTTGTAGCCTTTTGTTGTAAGGCCCAGAATAATTATAAGTTACATAATAAATGATAAATCTTCACATAAATTTATTTTTACTACTTTATTTTTGTGTACATGTTTTACATCAGGGAGTATCTAAGACAGGTTCTGGTAACTGAAGGGCTTTTAGAAGCAGCTTATATTGTCTAGACCCTAGGTATGCTGCAAACATGGTCTGGAGCAAAATGGGAAACACCATCTTTCTAAAGACAGGCTTAGACATTCTGATCCAGTAGGTTAAGATACTTCCTTTCTCTGGTAGCAGGGCTGATTCATACCTGTAAGAAAACATTGAGATAATTCATCTGAAAGTTTGTATCGTTATGTATAATATAGGTTAATTTTGAAAGCTAAAGCTGGTTCCGTGTATTTCTAAAAGGTGCCCTTTGTTTCATTCATTCACCTCAAGGTTAATAAAGCACAGATTGCTTGATGTGGAAGAGTTCACAGAGCATAGACACAATCATTTTGTAGAAGGAGGCTAGGCTACATCTAGCTTTTTCTTTTTGGGAAACTATTTTGGTGGACATACTCAATTCATACAGCTTTCACACAAACTCAAAAATCTCACTGCCAGAGACCTGATAGGAAGGCCCCCGTGGGTGTTCTAGAGTAAATCTTTACAGGAGGACAAAGCATGGTCTTGTGAGCTTTCACACTAGGCCTATTAGTTAGGGGCATTTAATCCAGGTTAATGTTAATGGCCTGAACTACACAAAGTGTAAGTTCTCTACCTTTATAAATACTTGAGAAGTAACACTTGATTACTGATAGGGGAAAAATGTTAGGTCTTTCATATAAAGTGGATTGCTTGGGTCTAACATGCTTTAAAATGTTAACATATTTGCTATTTTAATTTGTTCATGTAGTTAGTTTTTCAATGACGAAGAGGAAACAAAACTTGTCACCTGGCTGCTAGGCCACCATTGATGGGTATAGCCAAGAAAACAGGATAAAGACCACCAAGAACAAGACCGACCAGTCCACCCCGTATTACAGTGCAAGTTTCACAGTTCAGATGACCTAGGAAATAGTAAGTTTTGGAAATGATCAGGGTAGTCAAGAAAACAACACATGGACTCTATTTTCATAGATCTTGATGTTCCTATGAGTCAATACACTATGCAAAAGTATAAACATACAGTAAGTGCAATTCTTCAAGGCATGCTAAAAGGTACAAGTAGCATTTATGAGTAAGCAAAAGTAGCCAAAGTAGGACTAAAGTTTTCTGATTCTGCACTTAAAATATGCTCTTAGGGGTTTAGCTGGTAACCTTTTCGAGTTGTCTTCTTGGGCAGCCTGAACTAGTATTTCTGCCTTTCAGACTTTGTTAACCCGTGAGATCATTCTTGGGATAAGCTTATTTACATTTGATATTTTGTAATTTTATAGCATATATTTTTATATTCTCTGACTTCATAAAAATTTAATTCCAAAATGAGTTAAAATAAAAAACTGCAAACATACTGCCATCAAGTCAATTCTGACTTGTAGCAACCTTCTGGGACAAATTAAAACTGCCTCTTGGGGTTTCTAGGACGACATCTTTATTGGAACAGAAGCTTCGGCCAGCCTCGAGCCCAGAGCTTAAGCCCACTGTCACCAGGGATCTTTAAAATATGTATAAGACATAAGAAAATTGACGCCAGTCTGTTCATTGGGCAATGTTTTCCTTAATCATAAAAATATTTGCTAACAAGTTATTGAATCAAATTGAGCCAATCCAGAGCAGTATTGACCAGAAAAGAATTTAGGAAGAACCCCCTTCAGTCCCCGTATAACTTTTATTACTTGAAATCAGAATACTTCATGATTATATTCAAAGCACTTGGCATATAGTAATTTTTCCCAAAAAGTCATTATATATGGATTTAGTATTTGAAGGATTTTTAAGCCTTATAAAAAGTTTGGGTTTTTTACACTTTAAAACCGTTCTCTATAAAATACAAAGTTTTAAAAACTTAGGGCAGCTAGATTAAAAAAAAAGAAAGATTCCTAAACACATCTTACTCAAAATGAACACAACAAAGAAAATAGAAATACTGTTCATCTTTACTGTTAGACTGCTGTTAGGAGTTCCCACTCTACTTTGAAATGCTCCTATGGTTCAATATAACATTTTACAAGGCTACGTGATATGATGTGTTAAGTAAGTCGGAAAGCAAAATTATAATACAAGTGTAATATACCTGCACTCAAAGGAAGATTTACAAATGCTTTGTAAGTTAAATCTGCTGTAAGAAATGGAATCACCGCCATTGGTAAGCCAGAAGCTATCCGAGCCTGTGTCACATTTAAGGCACGGCGAAAAAGACTGTTTGCTATCAGGCCAGAGAAAGCAGCATTAAGTCCAACATATGTTGATCCATGTTCAAGTAGATTCCTGTGGGGAAGAAAAACATTTTTATGACTTGGTTCTTTTTTATGGGTAGGACCCTCCACCTTAACATTTTATAGATTTTATCAGGACTTGATTAACTGGGTATAGCATATATCTTTCATAGACCATAAAACTAAGTCACTTTTAAATACAGATTTTTAAAAGGCTTTAAATTTTGGTTACTATGTTTAGATTCTAGAGATGAGTCTAACAAGTTCTCCCAATAACTAGATAATAAACTAAATTTAACGTGACAATAAAATGTATGCTGCATGAAATTCTGTCATTCAGAAAAAGAGGTAAAGTCATACAGTTAAGTTGAAATAACTATTAGACATACTATTTGATAATACAAGAAAGAGTAAAGACTCCAATTTAGGAGAACCAGGGTATAAAAATGGGAAAGAGTAGGAAAAAACACAGCAAAGGTAAGGAGCTACTACTGTCTTTTGTCTCGTTAAAGTACCATTTCAGATAAGTTGGGGAGCAATTTATTACTTCCAGACCCATAAAAGTGGAGTTCCAGCTCCACCATGGTTGCGTTCTCGGGTGCAGGTTCCAGTGATAAAGGCTGCTTTTGTAACCATCTACTCTATTTGGGGGTCAGCCTCCGGTTCGTCCTACATTGCTGTCCTGGGAACATGGACAACAGGCCCTTTTTAAGCATGTTTGTTACCTGTTACAGGAAATTAAAAGTGTATTTAGATGGGTGGGGGAGATTTACAGCTTATAAAATCTCACCAATTTCTTGATACTGCTTTTGGTTCTTCAGATATGTGGAAGCAAGATTGGATTTATAGTGTGTTTATTTCTGAAGAAAGAATACTTCTGAAGTATATTTGAGAAAACGAGTTTTCTTTTTATCTCAACCGCCTCCACCTTACCATTACCACCCACTAGGATTACTATGCCATTTTTTCTATTGGTCTCCCTACTTCCTTTCTCTACTTTCAAACTATTTCCCATAAAATAGCCGGAATGTTATCTAAAAATGTTATCTGGATTACATCAGTCCCTTCAAAACTCCTTCAGTTCTTTGAACCATATTCCGTTCCCTTGCACTTCAGGTATACTGGCTCTTTGACAGACTTCACTGTCCTATGTCATAGTCATACACAAGCTGTTCCCTGCATCTACCAGCTGGTTTCATCTTTATGGCTCTGCTTTTTGCTTTAAATGCAACCTACTTGGCTTTGAGATCTAAGGACATTGTGTGGAAGTACATGCAGTTGCTTATGTTGTTTTCAAAGACCAGCATGTCCCCTACAGATCCTTCACTTACGATTCTCAAAAACCCTTGATCTAGCTGTTTTCTACAATCCACTTTTAGACCAAGAAGTATGAAATAGTTTAATTTGTTATCTTAAGAATTAAATTGAGCCATCAATATTTACATTTTACTGCACTGCTAATTAAATGGAAAACTGAGCCATCATTAATTAGATATGTCCAATGATGGGCATTCTAGCATTCTAGACAATTGTTCTGTGATCTTAAGAAAAATGGTTTACCTCTGCTTAATTTCTTCCCGACAAACCGTATTATTTGTACTAAAGCCAAATAAATTTTGAGATTCAATGACATCAATGATTAAGATCTACCTGGCAAATGGTAATTTTAAATTAGTATCTTACTTTTCTACATCTGGAAGTTGGTTAATTTTTCTGTTTATAAAACTAATACTTGAGGTTCCCTTCATAGTATCATCTGGGTCATGATTTTCCATCTTGAAGCCTTAAAAGGAAAAAAAAAACACTTTTAAAATATGTCTGTAGAAAATTTGATTTCTGTTCACAATTAAAAAAAAAATGCATAGACTCCATACTCACCTCGCCCCTGCCTAGATTATTCTAAGTAAAAATAAGAACCAGGCATGAAAAGTAAAAAAGCTAATATTACAAGTATCTTCATAATCTTAAAAATTATTTAATTTGCAAATAGTACTAAAATTAAAGATGAATAAAAACTAATTAAAATTAATAAACTATGTTAAATGGATACCATAAAGATAAGCTAGTGTGGGAGAAAATGTTTGCAATACAACTGACAAAGAATTAGTACCTAGAATTAAATAAAAATTTCTGCGTGTATAAGTCAATTTGTTGACTTCAGTCAATACGGGAATATTCTCAGTTTCACTGTAATCAGGAAATTAAACTCTGAAATACTTATACCCATAAGCCAACTCATTCACTGACTGCCCTGGAGTCAAGAGACTCAGTTACCATCTAGCACAGGATAGAACTACCCCTATGGGTGTCGGAGACTCTTCAACAATAAGAAGACTCATATTTCTCCCTGGGAACGGTAGTGGTTTCAAATGGCTGACCTTGCATTTTGCAAGCCCAACTCATAATCCACTATACCACCAGGGTATAGTTTTGATTAAAATCAAAACATGGCAACTTCAATTATTAGCCAGCACCTTAGGACAAGTGAAACGTGCTGATGGTGGAAGTGTGGAGTGGCACAACCACTTTGGAAAATAATTTTGTACTTACAGGGTTGTAAACAGCACGCAGGGGTCCTCAAACTTTTTAGACGGGGCCAGTTCAATGTCCCTCCAGATCCGTTGGAGGGCCGGACTATTGTTTAAAAAAAAAAAACTGAGCAAATTCTTAGGCACACTGCACATACCTTATTTTGAAGTAAAAAAACAAAATGGGGCAAAAACAACCGCCAGGCCGGATAAATGTCCGTGGTGGGCTGCATGTGGCCTGCGGGCCGCAGTTAGAGGATGCCTATAGTTTAGGGCAATGGTAGTCAGTATTCAGACAGTAAATCTTAAAAAAAAAATTAGTCATGAGGTGTCGAAGGGATCAGGTAGCAGGTAAAGACCCCAAACAAAAAAAATCTTATCGATGTGAATGATGGGGACGATGTAGTGGAGACCCAAAGCCCATAATTGGACATCCCCTCACAGAAGGAACAAGAAACATACGAGCCATCCAGGCCATATAGTACTGATGAAATATACAGCTTTCCTGTAGTTCTTAAATGCACCGTCATGACCCCAAGACAGATAAAACCCTCAGGACCAATCACGAGTAGCAATAGCAGGAGGGGGCGGGG